ATGAAACACACAAACACACACACATAATGAAACACACAAACTACACAAACATAATGAAACACAAACACACACTGTCATTTGTAAACCCCACCTGGTGTGACTCGGACGTCCACAGACTCTGGATCCTGGTGAGCCCTGCCTGCTGGTGCATGAGACCCGTCTGAGTTCTGTAGAAGTCGGGCAGAACGTTGATGTGCTGCAGTACCAGATATGTGTGTGTCTGCTGCGGAGGGCGATCATGTAACCCGACTCGTCTGTGTGTTGAAGAAAGCCTAATGGGTTTCCCTTCTCCCTGCTTCTCTCTTGTTTAAAGTGCAATATCCTGTTTATTTCTCTTTAATGCTTCTGAAAGTTAAATATAGAAATCTAATTTATTGTTGAAAGGGTCAACAGTGTGGCAAAGACGAATAAAAACATCATTTACTAAAGACAAACCGTCTCCCGCTTGCCTTTTGTGCATCATAGTGTTTTATTTTTTTTTCCCACCCAAAGGTCAGCCATCATGTTTTTGCTTGCCAAGTTAAAACATTTCATGAACCAATGGACAGACTTGAATTATACTTATGGAAAGTGACTAAATGTGCATCTACAAATGATTCCAGTTTAAGATGTCAGGCAGAGCCAGCCGATCTTAGAAAACACAACAAGGTTTTTTCTAGAATCTGACTGATATATCGGTTGGGCTGATAATTTAGGCTGATATAGACGGCCTATCAGTATCGATGATAATTGTCCCATTATGCGCAGATATAAACACTTTTTCACCCCTAAAATACTGGAACCAGCTGTAATTGTACAATATATCCAGCAGAGGGTGTATGAAGACTACTTTCAAGTCATGGCTGTTCACTTAAGTTTCACTTTCAGCACAGCTGAAGCAGAGAGCAATACTTTGTAGATAGAACCAGGGTATTATACTTTGAGCACTGTAATTTTAATTGGTCTGTAAAACAAAAAATAATTCTCTTCAATCCTCCAACCTGTTTGTCATTAGCTACATGCCTCTTAAATAAGCAAGCTAACGTTTACATAACCTAGGCTATTGCCTTGTAAAACTTTATCCGGAACAATAAACCTAACGTAGAGATAAAATATACTTCAGTGTTAGTAACTTTTTCTTTGTTGTCCTCAATGAAATGCATTGTTTGTTTGAAATCTTTACTTCTCTGCAAACAAAAAAATAAATAAACTGCAGCAGTCAATACCAATTAGGCCTTCATCATACTGGACGGACTGACTAAACAAACAGGGAAGGTGTTTCTTTGTTTAATTTATATTTATGTAACACACTTGACAACTGTATGATGAATAGTGGAGGATAGAAAATGTGAACACACGTTATGAAGACCAGTGCATCATTTGTAAACCTACTGTGGGTCTAGGTTTAGCGTGGATCTGATTAGCTTAGCTTCATCGTTGCTAACAGCTGCGCTAAATAAACAAGTCCCGCTCCACTCGCTGCTTTCTTTGATTCTTGTGGGTGGACAAAGTTAAAAATGTTTAGCCTTTATATCGGTTATCGGCGGCCGGCTTCCCCTCCCAATATCGGTATCAGCGACAGCCAAAATTTCCACATTAGTCGGGCTTTACTTAAGTCAGCTGGTTTCACAGATGCCGAGTGTAAATTTGGTGTGGTAGTAGCCGAGCATGATTTACAAAACAGTCCCAGTGACGTGTGATATGGAGCAGAACTTTATTAGTAACAGAAGATAGTCTCAGTCTAAAACTCAGGGGGTGATATGCATTCCTTCAAGGAACTCTAGGCTTTTATTTTATAACATTTAGATCAACAACTGTTTTAAAAGACAACTCTTCTTCCCATGAATGAGGTGCACAGCATTTGTCAACAACAAACATTTTACCTGCTCACAGTCCGCTGACGTCAGTTTCTGGGTTTAACGTCGTCTCGACAGCGGACGTGCATGTTCACCATGTGCATGTGTATGCTACATCATTGCTCGCCGCAATAAAAGCCTTTCTGTTTGTTCAGTCGGAATATGAGGCATTTAGGTTTTAACACATCATGATGTGATTTTACAAAAAATATTCACAAGCTATGAAACAATAAACATCTGGTATTCAGGTAATAAAAATACGGCTTTTTAAAGATGACTTAAAAAATAAATCATATCTATATCTATAAATATCTTCATTTTAATGTTTTACTTGTATAAATTTCATCTTCAGTGGAGGTTAAGGACTTGAGAGAAACGTGACTAGCTTTTTGTCATCTTGTGGCTCATTCACTTTCTGTGATCCTTAAAAATGAGTTAACTTCTTGTTTTGTAACAGAACAGACACAGGACAATTAAAGATGCTCGTCTGGACCAAAGCCAGGAAATACCCTGGTTCTGAGCATAAGAGCTGGTACCACAGGAGTCCAGACATCTGCAGCAGTCGAGGAGAAGATGACAGAATATGAACAGAAAATGATAAACGCAGGACTCATAAACAGAATCCTCATTTCAGCTCAATTCTTCTTGTTGGACAAGCTTTTGTCTGGAAGTTTAAGACTCTGTGAACTTCTACGCTTGTTTGTTCATACCAAGAGCAAAAACAGATGATCAGAGATTTTCCAAAAAGGTCTTGTATGAAAGTGAGTACAGACGTTGAGACGACAGAGAAGTCCTCCTGTTTACAGACAGGGGCGGGGCCTGTTTACAGAAAGAGGGCAGGGTCAGAGGACCGTCATTCATTTGTTCTTCAAACCCAATCAGTAGCTTGTTGGACGTCATGTGATCCTCTGAGGAGAACAGGAGGAGCAGGGAGATCTGGTTGGACGTCAGAAAACCCACCATCATCTTTACTTTGAGTCGGTGCGGTCCATTTCATGGGTCCGCGGGCTGAATGGCTTCGTAGCCTGCAGTAGTCTCAGACAGGGGGGTGTTTTCGGGACCATCCATCCACAGATCCATGGACTCCTGAGTGTCAAAAAACTCATCTGGACCCTCAGGAGACTGAGGGGTCTGTGAGCTGGAGCCCGCCTCGCTGCTGCTCTCCCTCAGCTCCAGCAGCACCGGTAGAGAGCCGGGAAGACTGTAACCCTCCATCCGACCCAGACCAAGTTCAGCGAGGGCCATGCAGGGGGGTCTGTGGTCTGCATCTGAGACTGGACCACTGGAAGGGTCCATGGTGACCAAGGCAACCTCCAGCCCATGTGGGGGGAGCTCAGGATTGTCAGTCTGGTTCTCAGCTACAGCACTGAGTCCAGCGTCTCCTTCTGGAGGGTCTTTTGGAGCCGGAGGGACCTCACCTGGGTTTGAAACTGCAGGACAGGTCAGGTCCAAGCCCTGAGGCCCAACAGCAGGGGGCAGCTGGGTGGAAATGTTCTGAGAGGAGTGGGTTTCCTCACTGCTCTGAGGGGTGAGAGGAACCTTCTCGCTGAAGCTGAACCGTGGGGAAGTGTCAGCAGTGGTGGGGGAGGAAGGTCCGGCGCTGGAAACGGCACTGGATGGACCGCTGCTGTCTGCAGGGACAGAAACCAAACACCTGAGTGTGTGCACCCTCTCTGTGTGTGTGTGTGTTAACACATTTGGACATATGTACATCATAGAACTCAACAAATCAGATTGAAGAAGAAACTTTTTTTAATTCCTGTTCAATATACATTTTAAAAAGTGCAGTTTTTGGTCAGGAATATATCAGGACACCTCAACATTTACTCTACACGTTGAAGGAGGTTTGCTCTGTTTTGACCTCAGACGTTAGGTTTGGAGTGATGTCGACTGCTGGTGAAACCAACAGAGATGTCTGAGGCATCAGGAAGAACACTGTAGCAGCAAACAAGTCTGCTGTGGGATCCAAGAAGCTCTAAAACCAAACAGAACCCAACCACTTTACTGTCTGGAAACAGGCTACAAGACCTGACCATCCAAGCAAGTCCACCCCTAACAGCAGACTGCAGGATGCTTAAAGACATCTAAAAACCCTGGAGCACCTCCACACGACCTTCAGCAGGCTCTCACTACTCTGGATGTGAAAGTGCACACCTCTACCATCAGACACACTTAGTTTAACGTTGATGGGAGGGAGGTGTGCACAAAGAAACCTGCTCTCTAAGAAAAACAAGAAGGTTAGAGCAGAGAGAACATGGACATCTGGAACATCTGGAGCACTGTTCCTTGGACAGACAGGAATGAAATTCAAATATTTCGACATCACAACAGAGCGCACGTTTGACATAAAGCAAATGCAGCATTTATCCTGATGCATGCTCAATAATCCAGGTAGAAAAATCCAAAAAAGTTCAATCTGGTCCTCTGGACATTCAAAAAAAAAAGAACAAAAAAAAAAAAAAACAAAGCAAAAAAATATAGAAACGTTTCGTCTCTCATCCAAGAGACTTCCTCAGTCTGAGGTGCTGTTTTCAGCTCAGTCTCTTAAATAGCACCTTCTCAGAGTGGATCAACCAGTTTGCTGCTGACAACCAAAACCAGCTGATCACATGCTCAAGAAGGACCATCAGCCTAACAATGGATCATTAGCACACTGATGGCTGTTTACTGTTCACAGAGGGCTGAGTGATACTAGCAATCACAGCATTGTAAGAGGGGGACAGTTGAACCCGGAGGCCTCCACCCCGTTTAACGATGGACAATTTCTTTTCACAAAGATGGCCTCCTTTACTCCTCTCTCAAACCATCGTTCCTCTCTGTCCAGGATGTGAACATCTTCATCCCTGAAAGAGTGACCGCTGGCCTGGAGATAAGTGTAGACCTCAGAGTCCTGGCCTGATGATGTTGATCTTCTGTGCTGGGCCATCCTTTTGGCCAGTGGCTGTTTTGTTTCCCCGATGTAAGACTGATCACAGCCCTCCTGACACTGAACAGCATACACAACATTACTCTGTTTGTGCCGGGGGACTGGATCTTTGGGATGAACCAGTCTTTGCCGTAATGCATTTTGGGGTTTAAAAGATGCAGCATTCCAAGAAAAGAACATTGTCCATGCTGTGAAACATGGAGGTGGAAGAGTCATGGTATGAAGTTGTTGCGCTGCAGCAGCTCACATCATCAAATCCCCCATGGATGTTACTGTGCATCACCGGGGGCTTGAAGAACTGCATGACCATAAAAAAATCATCTGAACCAGAATTGGACCCAAAATAGATCAGGAGATTCACCAAGGACTGGCTGAGGACAGACATGGGGAGTCCTGGAATGACTTGAATCTGGACTTATGTTCAGGAGACTAAATCTGTGGTGATGAGCAGCTTTTATATAACATTAACTTCTGCTCAAATTAAACACATTCTATAGATAAGGTCTATATCTAAACATAAATCAGAAACAATACATGAAATCATTAAACAAGTCTCCGGACCAATCAGAGGAGCCCGGCTGAATAAACGTTCTGTCATCATTTCAGGACTCTTTAGAATCTGACGTCATCCTTGGTCGTCCTCGGCACCCCCCGAGGGTGTACGGATCTCTCCAGAGGGAACTATGTGAACTGAGTGATTTACCACTCTTATCTGAACTCTGAAGTGCCTCTGTGTGTTGTCTCTGGACACGCTCACCACCTTGCGTCCCCCACCCCTGCAGAATGTCAGCATCACTATGTGCTTGTGTGCAAGTTTTTTTTTTCATTTTCATGCTTTTAATCTTCAGCCAAACATTAAGAGCATGTTAGGATTTTTTGCCTCCAAAACCTACGTTGTCACTTTCACCACTTCTGTCCAAACAGGTCTCACTTGTAAATGAGTCTTCAAGGCTCCATGTGATTTATCTGTTTAAATAAAGGTTGAATGAAAAACACAATTCATATTACAAAAAGTGTATGCCAAGTAAAAAAAAAGGCATTTGTTCCCATCAAGTATAAATGTTTTGTTTCTATTTTCTTTGTGATATACAAAGCTTTAGTTGTTAACACACTGAACATTCAGTCTAATGTTTAAATTCATAAATAATAAGCTTTATAGGATTCATTTTGTTAAGTGACACTGGCAATTTAAACATATTTTACATTTTATTTTGAAAGTCTTTGCTTGCATTTTAATATGTGGTATCCTCAGTGGTGGGCACAACTAACTAAAAAGTTAGCTTCCCTAACTCGTGACCGAAACCCAGAGATACAGTACTTGAACTCCTCCACGTGAGGCAGAACCTCACCCTCGATCTGGAGAGAGCAATCCACTCTTTTCCAACTTTATGTCTGCTAACAAAATTCACAAGCTTGTTCCCGTCTGTTGTGGACGTGTCTCAAAGCGGTCAGTAAGGCATGCGATTAGCTGACTACGTATACGCGTGACAAGATGTGATTGGTCGACGCAGCTTCAACTGGAAAGAGATGAAGACGTGTGACGCAGACTTACATTCATCTAAGCGCATAGAGGTTTATTGTTATCTTTTGCTATTTTATTTTATTTATTTATTTTTTCCAGTTTAGTAGTTTAGCATTAGCAAAGCTAATTTTTGTTTTAGTGGAATATTAGTGAGGGAAGAATGGAGCGTGAGACTGCCAGACGGATTGGTGCATTGTCTGCAGTATTGTGGACTCTCTGCTGGTCTGCTGTGGTGAAGAGAGAGCTGAGCTGTAAGGCAAAGATCTCTGTTTATCCATCAGTCTACGTTCCTACCCTCACCTATGGTCATGAACTCTGGGTAATGACTGAAAGTATGAGATAGTAGATATTTACGTTTCCTCTGCAGGGTAGCTGGACTCTCTCCCTTAGAGATAGAATGAGAAGTTCAGTTATCTGGCGAGACTTGGAGTAGAACCGCTGCTCCTCCACATTGAGACGTGCCAGTTGAGGTGGTTTGGGCATCTGGTAAGGATGCTCCCTGGGCGCCTCCCTAGGGAGGTGCTTTGGGCATGTCAGACTGGGAGGAGACCCCGGGGACGACCCAGGACACACTGGAGAGACTGTGTCTCTCAGTTCGCCTGGGAACACCATGGAGTCCTCCCAGAAGAGCTGGAAGAGGTGGCTGTGAAAAGAGATGTCTGGACCTCCCTGCTCAGGCTGCTGCCCCTGAGACCTGACTTCAGAACAAGTAGAAGATGATGGATGGATGGACTTAAAAGTTGGCAAAACCTAATTTAGCAAAAACTAATTCCACTAATGATTTTCAAAGTTAGCAAAAACGCTCATCCGCTAAACGAAAAATTAGTTCCACTATTAGCTGTTAGTGTATTAGTGGAATTGTACTGCATCTACTGTAAATGACAAAAAACGAAAAATAACGTTGGGTAAAACAAAACTGTAAATCATGATTTCTGTAGGGAAATGTGTCTTTTAGATTAATCAAATAATCAGTCAATTATTTATTAGTCATAGTATCTGAAGGCCAAGGAGGTCCAGCCTGAAGATGTTAAACTGTGATACTCACACCATGGAGGTCTGTCAGAACGAGACCTGAGGGAGATGGACGTGGACAGGACTCTCTGTGGGATGTACGAGTCGACTGACGGCTGGTTGTGTGCACCAAACATGGCCGACAGAGCTTCAGGGAGGAAGAAAGAAGATTAAAGTTTAATGGTTGGCAGACAGCACGGTGGCGCAACTGGTAGAGCTGCTGCCTCTCAGCGAGCAGGTCCCTGGTTCAAACCCCGGTCCAAGGGCCCTTCTGGGTGGAGTTTGCATGTTCTCTTCGTGCATGCGTGGGTTTTCTCCGGGTACTCCGGTTTCCTCCCACAGTCCAAAAACATGCATGTTAGGCTGATTGGTAACTCTAAACTGTCCCTAGGTGTGAGTGAGAGAGTGAATGGTTGTTTGTCTCGTTTGTCTCTATGTGGCCCTGTGATGGACTTGCGACCCGTCCAGGATTTACCCCGCCCCTCGCACAGTGATTGCTGGACATGGGTACCGGCGACCCCCATGACCCAAAATGGAACAAGCGGGTAAAGAAAATGGATGGATGGATGGTTGGCAGACACCTACACCTTCTCTAAAGACATGAAGGGGAGATTAGTTTGTTTCGTACCTCTGGAGGTTCTGGTGTGCGGATCTCCAGCGCTCTCGCACACGCTGGTGAGGAACTCGTTGACCTGTTTCAGTGACAGCGAGTTGTGCAGCGTTTCCAAGGGATAGATGGACGGCACCATGGAGCAGCCTTCGAAACCTGCAGCAGAGGAGACACACGATGCCCGCAGACACATCAGCTTTGGAGTTAGTGCAAGAAGCCTGAGACTCCATGACCCAACACTCCAACTCCACCCACACACTAAACCTCAACACGGTGCTCTAAAACCTGCTGCTTCAACATGGGCCCTAACCCACTGAGGACTCCTGCCATCCCCTAAGGCTCGTTTCCACACAGGCAAAAACAAATAGATCAAAAACATGCTGAGTGGTCAGAAAACGTGACACCACAGCTAAGGTGTCCCACTTTGTCAGTAAAAGCAAGCTTGCCAATCCCAAAAGGTGTCAGCCGTTCATTCAGTCCCATCACGCTCTGACAGCAGCACAGAGAGGTCGAAGCTGTTCTCACATGAGCTCAGGTCCGACGTGTTACCACAGCCACACCGTCCACTGTTAGTCCACAACAGCTGCACTTGACCATCAGAGTTTTAAAAAAAGCATCAAACCACAGGGTGGAAAACCTCAGAAGGTGATGTTTTAACTGGGTGAGTGTACAAAACAAAGACAGCCAACAAGCAAGAGTCGCATGCTGTTAAAGGTCAGCTACAGGGACATTCACCGTGGACTCAGAGCAGCTGTGGTCCCGTCCTGTAAAACCACTTCCTGTGCTCTGGGTTAGCAGGGAGTGAAAACTGGGCTGCAGGATCCTGTGCTGTTGTCTAAACATGTAAATATTCATTCATCACAGTCTCCTGCAAGGACACCTTATGCTACTACGAGGAGCACCGCAGATGTTTACATGTTAACTTTGTGCACAACTTTTAAATGACCAAATATAAAAACCTTGGATGAAAAATAAACACACCAAACCTTTCAGTGAGTCGTTGCTTCACTTAGACATACAAGAGAAAGCTCAACGTAAAACACAGCCTGAGATTAGAAATATAAATCTAGATTAAGATTAGAACAAGTCTAATAAAACAGAGAATTACTGAAAATACTGAATTCAATTGGTTTTTCTTGAAACTTGTATTTTTTAATGTGTTGTAATTCTTTAAGTTTGCTTTCCAATAAATGAACCACTGGAAGTTCCTTTAACTTTATGACAGTTTGTGTTAGGGGGAAAATCGACCGTCTTATTTATCCACTTAAAATACTTTTTTCTTTCTTTCTGTCAGCTGCTCCCTTCTACATGGGTCACCACAGCAAACTAACCACAAAGACATGGCAATTGTTTTCATGTTGGATGTCCTTCCTGACACAACCACAGACCACCGAGCTACCACAGTCCTCTGTGTGGAGCAGAGAGTTGCTGTCTAGGGTGCCTGGGGGAGCAGATGGTGGGGGTTAAGGGCCTTGCTCAAGGGCCCAGAGTGGGACGAATGAGGGTGGAAGCAGGTGTGGGTGTTTCACCTTTCCCGCCTACATTTTGATGTTGTCAGTACGGGGAGTTGAACCGACAATCTTCCAATCACAGGCACACTTTCACTAACCTCTGCACCACAACTCCCCCTATCCACTTCAAAAATAAATAAATAGATAAATAAATTCCACAAAAAACTAGTCGATCTTTTAGAGATACCTCAGTCTGAAACAAAAATAGCTAAATTAAATTACTTCTTTTTTTTTTAATCTTTAAGGTTCTTTTATTAATATTTAATTAAAAATAATTAAATAATAATAATAATAATAATAATTTGCCTTATTTAATAGGGCAAATCCCACTGAGATCACAGGTCTATTTTTCAAGGGAGGCCTTTGTTTATAAAAGCTCCACATTTCAATTAATTAATAAAAATAATAATAATAATAATAAGAAGAAAAACAAGAACACGAAAATAAAGATGATGATGTATTTTTATGGCAACTTTAGAAAAAAGGCATTTTCCCCAATAGATAACTCTAAAGTGATGTCATGACATGCCAATCACGTGGTCGATCTGCCATATGGTAGGTCACACATCTCGGCACAGGTCAGTCATTGTTTACACAGCAGTTTAGTTTTGTCATATCTGTGTGATAACAGTGCACGTGTGTTGCAGTTGGTTGTTACAACTGATCTGATCGTGGGAAGTGAAACTTCTGTTTCATGCAGTACCGAAGTTCAGACTGCATCAAGGAGAAGCAGCTCACTTGCTATTAAAGAAGCAGACACTTGAGACTGATGCACATCAACAGAAAAGATTTCGTGCCATCCACACATTCTGAGGTGTGCTCAAAACACTTTGAAGAATTTTGCTTCAAATGAAACCTTTCACCATCTGGGATTCCTACCCAGCTGCTCACCACAGCTCCCAGGTACCCGACTTGGTCTTCCACTCCAGAAGGGAGTGGGGGCCTTCATCCCATTGAGTTCCCGGTGGGAACAGGGTGCCCGGAAGTTATGAGCAATGTACCCAGTCTCTGAAGCCTGACCTCGATTTACAATCTCAGACAACTCTTAGCCGTAGATCACTTGGCTCATTCATCAATGAACTCCCGGTGCACCTCGATGGGGTGTGCTACGGATGGAGGGTGGACCAGTCCCACAACGGCCTCAATGACAGGTGCGACGAGAGACCCACTCAGCAAGGAGTTAGTTCACAGCCCCACACCCAAGCCTCGCTCTGTCATGGACCAGGTGCTGTTCAAGCAAAATGAGTGACAATATGGTGCCGCTCGAGATAAAGTGCCAGGATGAGTATGTCAATGAAAACTATCACTATGCTAAAAATGATTTTTTTTTTGGCAACTTTAAGAAAATCCCAGTTTGGAGTTTTGTGAAGACCCTCCAGCCCACCGGACCCCTTCAGATCCGGAAGTTGAAAACAAGGCCTCGTTTTTGGTCAGACTTACAACTCTTACACGACAACGTGTCGTTCGATGGATGAACATGGAGGTTTTTAAAAAGATCATTGTTATTATTGATTTGAAACTGCCCATGGTAGAAATGCTAGTATCCAAATTATTTTTCTTTTACTTTTACTGATCTGGATATACAAAAGAGCTGCGGGAGCATGGCCCATCTGGTAATGGGTAATGGTACTTTGGGCAAAACCAATGGGAGTCAACTGTTGTCAGCCGTACAGAGCCATTGTGCATTCGACTGTGCAGCCCGCACATGTGTGGAACAGATGTTTTTAATAATTAACACTTGTGCAACTTGCAAGTGTGTTATTGCTCGGTACATCCAAACTAAAACAATTTTGTCGAATAAGACAGAAGTCCACAGCATGTCCAGCCAGGAATAGGGCAACTCCAGAATGAAAGAAATATTTACTCCGGTAAAATCTTTGTGTTTGTCAAATACAAAAGCAGAGCACCAAATAAAGATCTAATATAAAAACAAAGGATAGGGGTAGAGATAAAAAAAAAAAAACATTACTGGGAGGAATGCATTATTTTACGATATTATAAATATGGGATTAAAAGTTGTATTTACAGTGCATTTCAATGTGGCCTACTTTTCCTCTAAGGAATATGAGAGTGTTAAAAGTTACAGTGAGGTTTGCAGAGTATTTGAAAAAGTGTTTATTGACTACAACAAAAAAAAAAGTAAGTTTCTTTCAGCTGCTCCCTTCTTCAGGGGGTCACCACAGCGCACAAGCTCACGTGAAATATTTGGCAATTTGTTTTACGCCGGATGCCATTCCTGACCCAGCCTGGGCTTGAACCCACAACCTCAGGATTACAAGACTAACCACCAAGCTACCACAGCCCATTTATTGACTACACCATAAATAAATAAAAACGGACCAAAAAAATGTGGCTGAAATTCCCAAAGATTGCTCAATGTTGTTATTTCTCAGTGAGAAGGTCGCTGGTTCGAATCTCGGCCTGGAACCTTTTTGGGTGGAGTTTGCATGTTCTCTCCGTGCATGCGTGGGTTTTCTACGGGTACTCCAGTTTCTTCCCACAGACCAAAAACGTATGTTAGGCTGACTGGTAACTATAAATTTTCTCTAGGTGAGAGTGAGAGAGTGAATGGTTGTTTGTCTCATTTGTCTCTATATGTCCCTATGATGGACTGGAGACTTGTCCAGGATGTCCCCCGCCTCTCACACAGTGACTGCTGGATTTGGGCACCAGTGACCCCCCGTGACCCAAAATGGAATAAGCGGGTAAAGATGATGGATGGATGGATGGTTTTCCCAAGGGTTAAATAACATGTAATACACTTGACTTGATTTTTGTCCATCCATCCGTCCATCCATCCATCCATTTTCTTCCGCTTATCCGGGGTCGGGTTGTGGGGGTAGCAGCCTAAGTAGGGAGGCCCAGACTTCCCTCTCCCCAGCCACTTGGGCCAGCTCCTCCAGGGGAATCCTGAGGCGTTCCCAGGCCAGCCGAGAAACATAGTCCATCCAGCATGTCCTGGGTCTTCCTCTGGGTCCCCCCCCCCCGGTGGGACGTGTCCGGAACACTTCACCAGGGAGGCGTCCAGGAGGCATCCTAAACAGATGCCCGAGCCACCTCAACTGGCTCCTCTCGACGTGGAGAAGCAGTGGCTCTACTCTGAGTCCCTCCCAGATGATCGAGCTTCTCACCCTTTTTTTAAGGGAGAGCCCAGATACCCTGCGGAGAAAACGCATTTCGGCCGCTTGTATCCGAGATCTCGTTCTTTCGGTCACAACCCAAAGCTCATGACCATAGATGAGGGTAGGAACATAGATTGATTGGGAAATCGAGAGCTTCGTCTTTTGACTCAGCTCTCTCTTCACCACAACAGACCGGTACAGCGCCCGCTTCACTGCAGACATTGCACCTATCTGCCTATCGATCTCACGTTCCATTTTTCCCTCATTCGTGAACAAGACCCCAAGATACTTGAACTCCTCCACTTGGGGCAGGACCTCCTCCCTGACCCAGAGAGGGCATTCTACCCTTTTCCGGCTCAAGACCATGGCCTCGGATTTGGAGGAACTGATCTTCATCCCGGCTGTGTCGCACTCGGCTGCAAACCGCTCCAGCGAAAGCTGTAGATCACAATCTGATGAAGCCAATAGGACCACATCATCTGCAAAAAGCAGAGAAACAATCCTAAGGCCACCAAAACAGATCCCCTCAACACCTTGGCTGCGCCTAGAAATTCTGTCCAAAAAAGTTATGAACAGAATC